CACTATCTTGTGATTGCCACAGTGATAACTTTCAAGAAAGCTCTTCCTCCTGCTGCAGTGTGCAGCAGGAAGAAGAGCTGACATGTTTCTGTCCACTACTGTACTGGGCAGTAGCAGATATCAGGTCAACAACTATTATTTCTTAGCATTCAGTGTTTTTAAAGAGCAAAGATGCCCCAGCAGTGCTTCTGTGTGCTCGCCCCAGGAGAGACTTCATGGGTTTGAACGCCACGACTAAACACATCGCATCTTATTTTCTGTTTCCATGCAGAGCAGATACCAAAAGCACTTTTCCATCATCAGAGGTAAGGTCTGCGCTTTGAGACCTAAAGCAAATCAACAGTCTGAGGGTAGCAGCACAACACTAAAGGCGCATTCACACTGCGGTACTTTTCCCACAAAGGTTCATGTGAACTTAGTTCATGTGAACTCTTTAGTTCTCATGAACTAAGTACAGATCGCGTTCACACTGGAAAAAGTCCCTGGGGGAGGATTAGGCAAATGAAGCCGCTGACGTCACTTGTTCTTCTTCTGCTTTAGGTTTACTGGCAGGCCGCAAACCACTTCACGGCGTATACTGCCGCCCAAAGTCCCCGGCCGGAAGTCCCCGGAGTTGGGGACTGGCTTCAGTAGAAGCTGCTGGGACTCCCAGCAGCTTCTACTGAAGCCTTCCGAGTAAATCGCCAGAACGCCGACACCTCCTCATCTCCACCGCTCCCATGTTTTATTTTGTGTTGCCATAAATTAGTCTCTCTGCGTTTCTGCGCTGGGCTAATGCTAATAATGCTAATGCGAGGATAATAAAATGGCGGCTTCACAAAACTTTTTGGGAGTTTTGCGGGGCGTGGTTTGCAATCCTTCCAGCCAATCAGAAATGTAGCTCTTTTCTCACAAAAGAGCCGCTCGAAAGTCCCTGCTCTCTAGCAGGGACTTTCGAGGGGGTAAAAAGGTTCACATGAACTAATTTTAGTACCGGCTCTTTTTGGTGTGAACGCGATAAAAGAGTTCACATGAACTAAGTTCACATGAACCTTTGTGGGAAAAGTACCGCAGTGTGAATGCGCCTTAAAGGCCTGTGACCCTGCCATCCAATATCTATCACATGGAAGTGAAAACCAAAGTGCAACATATTTCAATGTAACCATCAGGATGGTATTATCAATGTAAACAATAAATGGGAAAATGCACTATCCTGCAGTATACCAATAGCAGATTGGGAACACATGTGAAAAAACATTCATAACACAACCAACTCAAACTACTGGTAAGAATACACATTTTAATTTGTTACTTCAAGACACCCTAAATTCAAAGTCAATATAAACAAAACCTCACTACAATATGCTGGAGGTCTTATATTTAGGTCCTGTAATGTTTTGTGTGGCTTCTGGGAAACAGCTATAAGAGAAATGTCAAATATGTTTGGCATCTCTCTAAACAAGAACCCACTAACCCTATTACTTGGAAAAACAATTAAAAAAAGATTCCCACCTATTTCTAGTGATAAGAATAGCAATTACTTAAGATATTTCAAGGAATTTGTTAAAAGATAGTAACTTAATCAACTCACAATGGAAGAATCTAATGAATGAAATTCATGGAACCATTTAGAATGAACAGGAGGTAAGATCTGACAATGGATTGACCTGAGGCTCAGTGGACCTCCAAAAGCCAGACGAGTACCCGAGAACGGCTCCTGGACAGGAGCAGGAAATGGGGAAGAAGCAGGGGTTGACGTTGACTCCAGACGGAACACACCGAGACGTATGGCGTCAGGTTGGGAATTGGGAGGCAGGGGGCTAGCATGCCTGCGGCTAACAGGCCGGGAATCACACGTCGAAAGGAAGTCCAAAATCCAGTCGGGTAAGAACTCAACAAAACATGGTTTCTCTGCTGCCAACCGGTGCACCTCTACCAGAGCGGCCCTCTTCTGCCGAACACTGGACGCTCCCTTCTACCAATCAAAGCAGCAAGCCAGATAAAAGGATCTGCTGTGTCCACTTGTGGTTGGTTCATTCTGTCAGGGTTGAGTGAAGCAGGCAGGACCCAAATGCAGATTTCAACGAAAAACCTTTATTCCAAGGAACGAAAAAATACCTTTCTTTCAAGACCAAGGCCAAAGCGTAAGAAACAGAACACTACCCCGTGACACAGTCAAAGACTAACAATGAACCAACAATGACAGACAGAAAAACCAGAACTTAAATACACACAAGACTAATCACACAAACAAGACACAGGTGAGGAGGGAGGAGAAAACACAGGGGCACCAGGTGAACACAATTGGGTAATTAGGTAGGAGGGAAAACAGACAGACAGCAACAGGCAAGACAGGGGGTGAACACTTTTCAAAATAAAACATGAAACCAAAGACAGAAAAAGACAAGACAAAACACAACACAGACAGATTGTGACAATAACTGAGTAATCCTACACTCTGGTACTTCTACTTTTACTCAAGTAGATCCAAGTACTTCTCCACCTCTGCTTTTGAAAATGGCTTTACTTATTGCTAGGCATACCATTGTGTTTCCAGGAATTTTGGTAGCAAAAAGAGAAAATGTAAATATGTAACATGTTGCTGAACTGTTGAATGTGTGACTGTTTGCTCAGTGTCACTCACAGTGTTTGCACATTATTGCTCAGAGCACGCCTCTGCCTCCTACACCTGGAACCAGAGACCATTACAGAAAATACAAACTACATAGTCTCAACCTCATTATGAAAGTCTTGAACATGTTCATTATAAAAGTTGAACTTGAATTGTTCTTTTAACCATCAGAATCAAAAACAGAATCAGGTTTACTGCAAAGCAGGTTCACACATACAGGAAATATGCTTATATAATGGTGTTTATATTTCAAAGGCTTTACTGTCATATACACAGCAGCTACAGTGTACATATGGCAATGACAATCCGAAGCTCCTCCAACAATGCAACATAGTATATAAGCAGGGGTGCACATAACTTTTTTGCCCTGGTTCTCAAAGGAGCACCTGGAGATGTTGCTTGGTGCTCATCCTTAAAGTGAAATAAACTGTAACTTTTGAGGGGGTCTGGACTTTATTTGCCAGACACACGGCACTAAACACACACACTGAGGTGAACACAGAACACACATGCAGAGGTGAACACAGAACACACATGCAGAGGTGAACACAAGACAACATTAGCACGACCAGTTATCCTACAAGCTGTCATCACTACCCTCCTGACTGTTCTCCTCACTGTCTTCCTCTCTGTCAGACATGGTAGCTGATGATGTAGGCCTCCTACTTTCTCTCTGGTTGAGTCTGCGATTAGCTGCTTGCATCCACAAGTCAACAGCTGGTTTTGGGTCGAAAGTCTCTGTTGTCATCTTAGACAAGTGGATGTAATCAAATAAGTATGTGAACATAACCAATAACCTACCATAGCCAATAACAAATGAATGTAACTTATTTTATTTGTGTTGTTCATTCATATCTTATTTTACCTTAACATTTATTTATTTATGCATTTTTTTTTATCTCCAGTTTTAAAGGATATTTTTTGGTTACTGTCCTATAGTATGCATTGGAATGATTTCAAACCTGTTTATCCCAATAATTATAAAGGAGTGCCTTGGAAATATGTGTTTACATAAATTGTGACCAAACCGTTTGAACTTAGACTAAAGTGAACTATCTAAACACTCAGAGTCCTTTACCTCACTGGGCTGTAGTTATCAGCCTCTCAGTCTGACTGGAGAGGACTCTCCCTCCACATTATTGTAGAAACATATTCTTCTTACATCCGTTAGAGCAGCTAGCACGGCACCAGATTCTAATAACAACATCGCTGGTACCGGTGCACCCTCCCTCTCTCCCTCTCTCCCTCGCATTTTGGCTGTGAGCTGCGGGCGCCAGATAAGCCAACATCCCCCATTTTCATCACTTACAGCGCCCATCGTACATGGCAAATGAAACGTGTAACCGGGGTGAAAAGGGTGTTACATTTACTTAATTATGAATATTGTTACATCAAGGCCGAAAATTAGGATGAGCCCCAACGGTCAAAATGTTTTTTTCCCTCCCAGAGCTGCCAGCGCAGCACCTCCCCAGGTCTGGCGCCCTAGGCGAACATCTAGCCAGAGCTACGGGCCGGCCCTGAGTTCATATCATGGTTCATATGCAACTCGCAAATATCTTTCTCTCTCTCTCTCTCTTCTCTCTCTCTCATCTATCCTCTATTTTCTCTTTTCTCTTTTTCCTTCTCTCTCTCCCTCTCTCCCTCTCCCAATGTTGGTACGCAAATGCGCTTTGTTTCAAATGACCCGGTGCTCTTTTTTTGGCGGAGGTGCGCATGCGCACCTGCGCACCAGTTATGTGCAGCCCTGACTATGACGTCACAAGGTGCATGTCTGAAAGGAGCTAGTTGTATAAAGGCTCTGTTCAGAACTGAATGGTTTCCAGTATAAAGTATTTGTTTTCTTTAAAAAAAATCATGCCAGATAAAGCATTTCAAAAAGAAAGAGTTCCCTCTTCTCTTTTTCGCCTTCTTGTAAGACATCTCCTTATCCCTAAAACAGGACGTAGAGATCATTTAGTGTAAAGCTATAGCAGTCTTTATTTCATTACAGCACAAAGCATCTTGATCTACACGACCTCTATGTGCAGACAGTTCATGACGAGTCAAACTATTAACATTCCTTTACACAGTACTTGAAATGTAAGAATTATAATGAAAGAAATAGCAGGTTCAGCAGACATTGAAAGATACTGCACCATTTGTTTGTTGGTATGTTTGCCTCTGTGTGAGTTAGTATAGAATAAGAAAGGACAGGACTACAGTCCTTAAACTAAGCTAACATTAGCAGGCATGAAATACATTTCTATCAGCTCAAATCAATATAAATAAAAAAGCAGTAGAAGTAAAGTAGAATATTCCACCCAAAGTTTACGACACAACTTTTCCTTTAAAAATAAACTGGGACCTAAGGTCATGGAAAAAAACAGACTCGTCAAAAGTTGTAATTTACAGCGATTTCTCTGCAGGCAGACATTGATATTCCAGTGCCTTCTATTTGTTTCAGTGCATACTTTCTCTCATCAGAGAAAAGGTAAGTCATGTTAGTAGAGGGCTCAGTGGCCTGGACCCCCTCTCTGCATCAAGATATTCATTTGCCCAAGTGAATCATATGTCATAATCATAAGTCGAGTAAATGAATGAAATGTGTCATCAACCTTAACATTATAACTTGTTCAAAGCCTTGCTCTCAGTCTGGCACTCTGCAGCACACTTCAATTCTCACAGTGTACCCCGCTCCGGGTCCTTATTCTGAATTTCTATCAATTCTCAAAGTATTTATCAACTTTTGTTCCTAAAACAGTTTAAGTAATTATTTTTGGGTGACTTTAATATTAATTTTGACATGAATAATAATAATTATAATAATAATAATAGCATTACTATTGCATTTACCTCATTATTATATTAGGATGAATCAAAGTGAACATGCACCAACATAACCTTGTTCTGAAAATTGAGCGTTTTTCAGTCTGTCCCCATAATCCAGCGGTGTCCAAACTACGGCTCGGGGGCCAACTGTGGCCCCAAATTCTAAAAGTATAATAGAATACTCCTGAAACTTGTGCTTTTCTTTTATTGTACATCTTAACTATATATGTAAACATATATTACACAGTAGTATACATGTGTTAATAAGCACAATGTTCTAATAAATTCAGCCAATTAAAGTTGAAAACTTTTTCAAACAAATATTAGTTAAAAAAAGCTAATAAGTTATTTGCATAACCAGCTTGAAATAGACCCTTCATATTTCCCCTTATTATAAGCAATCTGAGGCTTCTGTTTCAAGGAATGAGCTGCAACTCTTTCTGTGACAAAATAAAGTAAACCCTCTGGAGAGCTGTGATGGAGGCGGTTTTTACTTAACCCTCCTGTCCTGTTTTAACTGCTATTACATTAACACTAAAACCATTAATCATCACCAAATTTCATTTAACACCCTTTCAAACTGTAAATATTGTATCAGACTACTGGTATACACGAAGAACTGCAGTAAATAAATATACAACGAATAGAAACTGAACATGTATTGCGTGTGTCAGGTGTGATCCATGTGGGGGATGATTGATGGGCACATAAGAGCGGGAAATGTATCAAATTGTTGTGTGTGTGTTTTATCTGATCCAGATGGTTACTAATTCCATTTCTTTATGGAATTAGTAACCACCGTGTTACAAAGTTGACTAAATCATCCAAAATGCAATGAAAGTGGTGATCAGCAATTTGACATGCTCAAATGTCTACTGTGAAGGATATCATAAAGCCTTAATGCGATCGAATGTAAAACGAATAAGTTATGATTGATGAAAGTAGTGAATCGGTCAGATTTGACCCAAACACAACAGGAGGGGAGCATATTTAAGTATCAGGAATACTTTAATTACATTTGATTGATTTTGATAACTTATAACTGAACTTATGAGGCAATATACCTCACCTCTAGTGAGGGGCCCAGCCCTTCGTATGTTTTTCCGTAAGTGGCCCTCAGTGAAAGACAGTGACGTGCGGTGAGGTTCATGGCTGGTGAGGCACTGACTCTTTCAGAGTCAGATTTACAAATATTATATTTTTACCTTAATCGAAATATTCGGTTATTTTCAAAAGCTTTTTTAGTCTGATGCTTCGATTCATTTTAAACAGACCGTTCAACAAAAGGATACCCACAATCTAAGTATTGGATTGTTCTTTCTTAGTAAGATCCCATGTTCATTACAATTGGGGTCTTACCTTGACTTGAAGATGAAGTCCATGCTATCCTTCTGGACAACAATCTCCATTACTTTTTTGTAAAAGTCCTCCTTATCTTCCTCTAGTTTCAAAAGTCTAGCTTGTTGTTTGTTGTTTGTTGTTTGCGTCCACCGTCTCTGCATAGAATAACAGTAGTAACAAGAACCTGTGGGCTCACTTGCGCCCCCTTCAGTGCGGCAGAGGTTATGGCTGCCTCCCCTGGTGCTTTTTTCATTGCCGTTGTATGATGAGACCAGCGAGCCTAAATATCATATATACGTGAAATAAGTTATTTAGAGACTATGGATGGTGAGGATAAATGTAATAAAGGGATCTACAAACATTACATTGGTGACATACAGTGAGATGGTGCAGGCATGCGCTTAGGGCCCGCTTTCCAGCCAGTTTCTGTGGGGTGACGCATTCTGAGGTGAGGCATCATCTGTGCCTCACCTCACCCCACAGTAACTGGCTTGAGCGCGCTCACAAAATAAGTGCCCGCGTTAAATGAATGCCCGCGCTCCAGCCAGTTACTGTGGGCTTACGAGAGGCAGAGCTCGTCCCTGCCTCACTCCTCATCGCTTCCCGTAGTTGTAGCGGAGCTCGGCAAATTAGCTGATTTTGACTATAAAAAGCGATTGGAATCAAACAGAAATCACATTTACAAGTTACAACACAGATCAGTGGAGACATTTTATTATTATTACTATTTAGTTTTTCTTTAGTTGTTTTTCCGTTACATTGGAGTATGACAGGTGAGGCTCTGCCTCCCCTGCCTCCCCTGACTGCACGTCGCTGGTGAAAGATGTTGGACACCCCTGCCATAATCCTTCTGAAGTCCTGTTATGGACTACTCCTGCAGTAGAAGTCTATCTGCTGCAGGCGCGCTGTCAATAACAGTATACGCTGTCATTCCGCAAAAAAAAGAAAGAAAACTATTTTTTTCCTACTTTTTACTTCTACTCCACTACAATTCAGAGGTTAATCATGCACTTTTACTCCAAATACAATACATTTACAGGAATGTAGTTCTACCTGGAGTAAGTTCACAAGCTACCCTGCAGTATACAAAGTCATTCAGACTAGCTGCACCTTCACCAGCTTTGAGAACACTTTCATGATCAATCATTATAAAACATATCATATATATTATTCTGAAATAATACTTTTACTGTCGCTACTTTAAGGATATTATAATGGTATTACTTTTGTACTTTTAATTGAGTAACATAGTAAATGCAGGACTTCTGACTTTTAACAGAGTATTCCTACACTCTGGTACTTTTACTTTACTCATGTCATACGTACAAGATCTGAGTAAATCTACTTTTACTCAAGTACAAGATCTGAGTTCTTGTCCGACCACTGTCCAGAAGCAACAAATAGAGACTCTGCAGACATGTGAGAGCATGTTTGTCAGCTTCCTGTTGTTGTACATGTACACAATCACAAGGGCACTGTCACATGCTTGACAGTAACATTGTAAGAAATAAAATAGAATACGGAACAGACGACATTCGACTGTGGGAGTGAGATAAAGTTTGGCTGTGCAGTTTTTGTATGGGAAGCACGACAGAAAGCTGAATGTCACTATTGCGATGAACGACGATAGCAGGGCATTTAAATATTGTGCATGAAGCAGGCTGCTGTCTCCATCAACACCGCGAAGAAGACAAGTACCTGGGAGTGCACTTAGACAACCGGCTGAACTGGAGGATCAACACTGACGCTGTGTACAAGAAGGGGATGAACAGACTCTATTTGCTGAGGAAGCTGAGATCCTTCCACGTGTGCAGCAAGATGCTGGAGATCTTCTAGTCTGTTGTGGCCAGCGCACTCTTCTTTGCTGCGGTCTGCTGGGGGGGGGGGGGGGGGGGGGCATCAGAGCTGGTGACACCAGCAGGATCAATAAAGTGATCAGGAAAGCTGGGTCTGTCATCGGCATCAAGCTGGACCCCTTTGAAGCTGTGGTGGAGAGGAGGACACTGAACAGGCTGTTGTCCATGATGGATAACCCCACCCATCCTCTCCACCTGCAGCTGGACAGTCAACGGAGCTCCTTCTCCAACAGACTGCTGCAGCTCCGCTGTCTCAAGGACCGATACAGGAACACATTCCTGCCCACTGCAATAACTCTGTACAATAAATCACCTCTGGCTGGAAGAGAACTCTCTGCTCCATAGTTTCTCTTGGAATAAAACAAACTCGCTGTACATTTTACACATATATAATCTGTTCAATATTTAATATTCCATTTGTCATATTTATGTATATATATATATATATATATATATCTTTGTATATATAATATCAACATGTATATTTTCTATTTTATTTATATTCTTGTTTATTTCTAGTTTTGTTTTATTGTAAAATGCCTTGTCTTTTATGCTGCTGCAACAAAAACAATTTCCCAAATTGGGATCAATAAAGTACCATCTCATCTTATCTTATCTTACCCGTCTTTGCGCTTAGCTTTATAAACGTGCCCAGGTGCCACGACCCACTTTGCAACCTTCATATTCGAACAGATCTTCTACTCTCTCTCGCTCGGCCGCCAGCTTTGTTTTGAAGTCGTAATCCATTTTAACCCATAAATACGTCTTCATTTACAATAAAATAAAATATTAATTATTACATGCATTAATTATATAATCTGGTCGTTTTATTCCCCCACCATATCCTTGTTTGGGATTTTGGTCTGCTCGCCTAATGTTCACTGGTTTGTTGACGTTTCTAATTGTCGCACAGGGATCCCTGGGAACGGTAGTTCTTTAGAGCAGGCACCGTGGTTTACCAGCTCGTAAACGGGGGGAAAGGAAACTACAAATCGCGTTTCTCGCTGCGGTGTGTTGCTCTTTGCAGAGCCCACTCACTCATGAAATAAATGCTGGTCGGATTTCATGGTGTACAAACAGGGCTGCTCATTTAAAGTACTATACTTTATAGTCTTAATACTTAGTACACAATACGTTTAGGATCCCCGAATGTTAACGGCATCATTTAATAACACATATACCAACTTGTATCAAGATAATACAACAAATACATTAGATGTTTATAGAAAATATAAATATCAAATTATCTGAAATGTTGTTTTGTAAAAATGGACACTAAATTGCTAACACCCTATTGGCACCTCATTTAATAATTGTATGTGTTGTCCTGATTGTCATGCATGGGCATTATCAAAGCAGGGTCTAACATAATTTATTGTTGGTTGCTTAAAAACGTATGCAATGGTTGTATATCTTTCTGATAAAAGGCACATTGACCTATTTTCTTCAAACTGCAATCGGCTTTACATACACATTTTTACAACACATATTCATGTTCAATGTGTAGACATATTTCATGTATAAAACCACTACATTATATATGTATTTACTTCATCATGGATTACTATTATTTATTTGTACTCCACTTATATTTGTGAAGGGCTATGGCCACTCGGAGGAGGCTATAAACACAATATAACGTCACGTGAGGAAACCCCTGTTCTTTTCGATGAGTGATTGGAACCTAAACCTATCATATGAACACAAACCAGAGCACGGAAATCTGATTGGAGTACTGCAAAAATGACGTCAGAGTGTAAGGCAGATAAATTCACCGCGCCGTCTCCATTCAGTGCTTTACACAGTATGGCCGGCGATATTAGCTAGCACTCGCTAACAGTATTCTCTGAAAAAGGGAAGACGGTAACTCAAGAAAATCAACACCTGGATTGTTTAAAGGACTGTACCTCAATAAATTATAACGGACCGAGGAAGGATTAACCAAGTTGTAAACGTTACAACCGAAGTTTAATATTTGTTGTTGGGTGTCGGTTGTCTCATGATGGAGGATAACGGTGCACATTTCTTCGAGGGGACTGAGAAGCTGTTGGAAGTGTGGTTCTCTCGGCAGGATGAGAGCAAAGGAACCGGCGACCTCCGTACCATCCCAAGGTTTGTGTCAGTCCGTAGCAGAGGCAGCATACAGCTGAAGCGTAGGCTGAGACACCGGCCACATGCTTGGCTTCACTTCCACAGTCCGTTGTTGACATGTAACCAATTTAACCTGATAAGATTTAGTGTCCCCGAGGTGATTACTTAACTGTACTCATTAGTTAATCCTCAATTCGCTGAATTTACAAGAACAGGACCATATTGAGACACCAGAGCATAGCACCAGGGAACAGCTAACACCGTCACTGGAAAATGGCCACCTCCCCCTTTAATAGCGGTTTCTAAGCTGAGTCATTCATTCTTCACCGAGGAATTATTGACACATTTATTTGCAATTAATCGATATCATGATGATGAGCCTGTTATAGTGAGCGACGGATTAACTGGTATATATTTTAAGGTTCGTCTTGGCAGAGTTGGCACCTCGTTTAGAGCTAACAGCTAGCTCTCTCTAGCTAGTTCTCAGCCTCGGTGTGCTGCTCACTCCTGAGACTGCTTCTTGTCACGAGGCCCTGCTTTCACACGCTTTATTTAACAGCTTACCTTGCTAAACAACATTAGGCGGGCTGGATGCTTTTTACCCCCTGTCATTACGCACGTGTATTATTGCCCCCTCAGTGTTGTTGGGACATCGTTTGATTACGAGAGTGCTACCATATACTAGATACTTATTTTATATAGCACATAGGATTTCGATGTAACTGTATTTTGAGTTTGTTTTTCTGTAAATGGCGAGGTTATTTTTTCTGCGTCATTGAACAATGACTAAGCCCCCCCCCCCCCCTCTTTGAGTAGGCTATGTCAAGCATGTGGTCGCTGTCTTCAATGCGTGCAGCGATACTGGCCCACGACAGGGCACTTAGCCACAGATCATTTAAATGTGAGCTGGATCCCAAACTGCTCCCATCACAAAGTACAACACTATGCTGACCGGGACCCTGAGTCAGCAGAGGGTCTAGTCTGTCTGGATCCCAGGACTGGGGCTTGTATGATAGGGTTTAGAACACTCACTGCTTGGCAGCTTTTAAACCTACTGCATGCTGTCCCTGCTCCGGTCACGTTTCCAGACATGTAGGCACTCTCCTCCCAGTTCCTCTGATTGGTTACTGGCGGAGGTGGGAGTAAATCCTACATGTGCAAGTCATGAGCAAGTCTCAAGTCTTGACCTACAAATATCAAGCAAGTCACTGTTGTGAGAGTCAAGCAAGTCAAGTCATTGCTCAGGTCAAGTCAAGTCAAGTCATACGAAATGCTGATGAATAAGCCCAGTTTCTGCATTTAAATCAGTAAGTCAGACAGTGGTTATGAAAATGGATGTAACCCACACTATGATCTTCATTACATACACAGTTAATCATTTGAAATCTAATTTAGACCGATGATAATCATATTAGATTCATATTAACCCTAGAACTGCAGACAATATAGCTAGGACTCAAAAAGTCTGTTCAAAAAGGCAGAATTCCAGGTAAGAAAATCATATATGGCATTTGCCATTACACATATTTAATTAAAATGTCTGTTAACACTAGAACCGCCAACAGCGTCAGCACCTAGAGATATAATTTCCAAATCCTTTAATTTGTTCCTCTTGATCATTTCCTTATAAACTAAGTAGAACGATATAAAACTCACTTAATTGGGTTCATGTAGAAATGGCTTCAGTTTATCATCATAACAGATCAAAAAGTTCAGATTCATTTTACAATAAATCAAGGAATGATGCACTTCTACAAACAAAAACAACATCATTAAAACATTTAAACAAACTACTAAAAGTAGATGAACTACATTATTCAAAAGTTTACAGTAACTTCTGATAACAACTCAGGGGAAATAAACGAGGCATCTCTTTTCCTCTCTCTCTCCCCCCCCCTCCTGACAGCCCGTCAGTATCAGGGTTAGTCAAAATGAATCCCTTGGCGGTTCTAGTGTTCATTTACCGTTTTGTCTTCTCTTTGCTTAATCGATTTGAAACCAAGTCTAACGTAGCTTTAACTTAACGTTAGCTTTCTAGCTAACACAACCTTTCTCTGTGGGTTTGTTGTAGTGACGAATGAAGTTGGATGTTGTGGTGGTCGTGTCACTGATCTTTATGCTGCAGACCCTGCATACCGCTGTTCTCTTCTTATTACCGTCATCGACAAAATAATCCTTGAATCCAAACTTGACTATTTGTGGAGTAAAGCTAGCTGCTGCCATGTTAACTGAGTGGGTTGCCAGGTTTGCGCACATTGCGCTATAATCACGTTTTTCGAAAAAACTAAACGTAATATCTCACTACAAAAACAAACGTAAATATTTAATTTTAAACAGTCAAGTCCTTTCAAGTCATCTGTCTCAAGCTTAAGTCAAGTCTCAAGTCATGAATACCAAGTCAAGTCTTTTATCAATGTTAGTCAAGCAAGTCTCAAGTCAAAAAATATGTGACTCGAGTCAAGTCATATGACTCGAGTCCCCACCTCTGGTGACTGGGTATCCGTCTGTGATTTGCTTAGAGGCACTTGCATTCAATGGAAAGGGTTTGAGTGATGGGACTCTGGGAAAAGAATGTGAAATCTTGACCTCCATTTGTTACTATGTCTCTAACACTGAGAAGCTAAAGTAAATGACGTTTGTCCAGGATGCCTGTTGTAGTTCAGTGTGAGAGCAGAGCAACAGGAGGGGAATTCAGTGTACACACAATCATTTATGATGACAGCTGGTAAGAAATGATCACCTTGAGCACATCCTCTTTTCCTGGTTTACAAAACATCTCCTCTAAATTATATATTATTCTGAAGTAGAATTCATCGTCCTCAAACTCCGTTCTTGCAGTACAGTAATACTAAGTGAACAGCCTGTTATAAGGCTCAGTCTGCAAATTATGAGTGTTTTGTAGTCATTAACCAGATCACAGAGGTCAGTTTAAGACAAGTGTGTGGCCGTCGGGTGAATGAGGACTGGCATTTATTTACAGCCAGGGGGCAGATTAACGGCTCAGTGGGACACTGTCAGTGGATCAGGCTCGCTGGAAGTCAGCCAATGTCCAAATAAGTCCACAAGGGCATCTGATTCACAAATGTGGAGCTCGCTCACATTACCCCGCTGCCCTTCCTCAGGCTCTACAGCACCGTAGTCTGCTGCAAGTGATTGACAAGCAACTACTCCTGAGGATATTTAGTGTCATCACACTCCTTTACAGTCTGCAGTAGGGCTGCTCGATTATGGCAAAAATCATAATCTCGATTATTTGGGTCAATAATTGATATCACGATTATTAAATCCATTATCCATTTACTTTGAAAACATCCATTTATTGGAAAAAAATTGAACAGTATGTTTTTAACAGTTGATTACCCTGAACTTTAAAGGTGGGGTAGGTAAGTTTGAGAAACCGGCTCGAGATGCACTTGTTATATTCCATGGAATGCTCTTAACATCCCGATAGCAATGAATATCTGAAGTGCTTTGACAACAAATCTAGGGGTGCACCGAATGGGAAATTCTTGGCCGAAACCGATACCGAAAATAGGAAACAGTTGGCCAAAGGCCGAAAATGATTAATAGAAATATATATATATATATATATATATATATATATATATATATATATAATGTATACATTTTTTACCAATGTTGTTCAGCTACCTGATTATGGAAATAGACATGATTATGGCAAAACTTAACTTAAATAATAATCACTATTATGGGTCCATAAAACATTTATTCAGCACTTTTGAATGCATACAGTACATTTATATATGTCATGTATTATTGCTAAAAAACATGATATCGCATTCTTAGTGTCGCCAACTCGTTTCTAATATGCAAAGACAACAAATGCGTCTATGATGTATTTTCGATCAGACGAGATCGCTCTCCCCCGTCTGTGTGCGAGGGGGTGGGGCAGTTTACACACACCCAGCTGCTACATGCAGCGGAGCACACTGTGGAGATGGCGGAGAGAACGCGCTCTGAGGTGTGGTTAAACTTTACCCGTCTCGATGTGGAGAATACTTGTTACCATAAGTGCAATAAGAGTTTAGCATGTAAGCACGAGCAATTTGTCTAAACATTTAGCAAAAGTGCACCGCATGCAGACGGAGGAATGTACCGGGTTCGACCGTCTTTCTAGTAGCGCTGTAGCCCCATCCACGAGTAACGTTTCCACGTCAGGTGTTCTGTATGCTAGCAGCAACACACGGAGTTAACTACATGATACAAACATGGGTTAATGATTAGAGGTAACTGAGTTATTTAGTTTGTTAACATTTCAGCTATTCTGTTTACAGTCTGTCATCAGATTATTTAATACCATTTGTTAAAGGCTCAGGGCAATCTCGATGACAAAGGTCAATGTTCCCCCCCCCCTGTGAGCCAGCCGCGAGCATGGTCGCCGCGTCTTTATTACGTCATCACAATAACACGTTAGGTTACCAACGTAAGCCTGTTCTGACATTCGGTGATATTTTTTCGGTGCTAAAACCCTTTCGGCCGAAAGGGCCTTTTTAACCATTTTCGGCCGATAATTTTCGGTGGCCGAATATTCGGTTCATCCCTAAAAAAATCCCTAAAAAATTTCATCTGTGGATAGGGTTGCCAACCATCCCGTATTAGCCGGTACGCCCCGTATTTGAGCCAAAAGGGGCGTGTCCCGTACAGGACTTTGTTTGTCCCGGACTCCCGTGTAAAGGGAAAAAAAATAAAATATTTTTCTGTTTGCGGGCAATTCAGTGTGTCTGGCTGCGTGCCTGTGTGTTTGTGTGCTGTATGCGAAGGGCGCTAGGACCGCTCAGTTGACAGGGCAGGCACAATGCTCGCACGTGTGTGTGTGTGTGTGTCATACTTGCCAACCTCAGAAATCGGGAGGATTTGAAAACCACCGCGGGGGGGAACGTGTGCTAGTGGATCACCGGATCTGTATTAGATTAACATTACCATGCTTATTGTAGTTCTAAGTGCACTGCCTTGCTGCCTGTAGCACCATCCTTGATGGAGCATAGTGTGGGCTGGACAGGAAAGGAGTGAGCAGAGGGTCGTGTTGTCGATTCTTGTTCTGTTTTCTGTTACTATCTTCCTCACCCTCAGACTTTCAGTTGCGTGTGCTACCATGGAAACCAAACAATGGTGTAGCTGTATTAAAGTCCGAGTGGAAACAGTCCTGAGTAAATCTGATTTTGTCAGAAATGCGGGAGAAATATGACCCCGGGAGGAAACCGGGAGAGGGCAATGAAATCGGGAGTCTCCCGCGAAAATCGGGAGGGTTGGCAAGTATGGTGTGTGTGAGAGTCAGTCAGCTGATTGATGGGAAAATGGTTGGTTGAAGGATAACATTAAGTCTAATAATGATGTACCGTGCATGTTCACATCATGTATACTTTGCATTACTTAATACCATTTTTCAAATATTTTATTTTTTAACATTTTGGACAAAATAGCCAATTGTACATCGAGGTGCCCAGATGTCCCTTGTGCCCACTTATCCGATTTGAACATGCTGATGTACAATGTGATGTAGTAGCCTAATGCAGGTGTAAAACCATTGTGTTTGTATTGTGTTATAGGTATGCATAGTTTTCTATGCATTTTGAGGGTTTTGGGGGGTTTGACCCCCAAAAACATTTTCGATCCCTAGGGGCTGGCTCCCCCAAAATAATTAAATAACATAACCCTAACCTAACCCTAAAACCGAAATAAAGTAACAAAAAAAAGTAACTAAATCCGCCAGAAACCCGAAAATCTTCGCACGCATGCGCGCGAGGGACACGTGCGTGTGTCCCGTGTCTCCATTTCTGGAAGTTGGCAACCCTATCTGTGGAAGCTGTGGTACTGTAAAAAGCACGACCAATCATCTGAGCCGGCCCGGCTAAAGTAACTGGATGGCCTACCTGCCTGTCAGCCTTCCATCTGGGCACAGACTTATCTCGTGCCCTCATTGGTCATGTGCGCGTTCGTGTGTGTTGGAGGAGGGGCTCTGTAAGGAAGGAGCAGATTTTTTCCGGTTGTTTATTTTCAAATTCTAGCACACGAGCTGGTTCCTCCAAAATTACCTACCCCACCTTTAAGTATAATTCAACTGAAAAACCAAAACATTACGTTGTTTTCGTAATCGCTGCAAGCCAAAATCGTAATAGCGATTAAAATATGATTAATTGAGCAGCCCTAGTCTGCAGCCAAGTGTTTGTCAGTACACCTTGATCTACTGATTTTATTTCACCAGAGATGGTTTAGAGTGGAGACAAACAAAATGTGTGTCACGCAGGTTTCTTTACTTCCCCCCTTTTTAGGAGGGTAGTGCAGGGCTGCCAACCTTTGAGTGAGATTTTTTGGGGGGGGGGGGGGTGTACAGGGTTGCAAATGTATTGAACATATAAAAAAGTATTCGGTACCGTATATAACCGTACCAAACGAATATAACGTTAAACGTAAAAATTGAGAACGTGGACAACTTTTTGGAAGTAATCTCAGGTGCTGCGCATTCAGAGTAATTTGCTCACATTGTGTTCAACGCGTCATAGAGCGAGCAAGTCATTTCATTGGACGAGAGGCATACTATGAGAGCTGGTCACAGGGATGCGTTCAAATGTAGTCAGTCATTTGAGGAAATGGCGAACGCAGATAAAGTTGAGCTCGAAAATCCTCCAGCATCATTGAAGTCTCCGGTTTGGGAACATTTTGGTTTCGCAGTTACGTACAAGGATGACGGACAAAGACAGGTGGACCGAACCAAAGCTGTTTGTCGGCATTGTTCAACTAACATTGGTTACGCGGCTGGCAATACATCAAACTTGCACACTCATTTGAAAAGGCATCACCCGAACGTGAATATCACCGGTACCAAAAGACTGAAGTGCAAACCCAACTCCCACTAGCATTTAAGCCTCCACCACTCGAACAAGTTCAGACCGAGCCAAAGCTATTACAAACGCCAAATATCCTTATGTTGCCATGTTGGCAAAGCGCTACCTGGCTGTATCTGCTACCTCTGTCCCTAGCGAGTAGGGATGCCAGCGATTATTCGATTATTCGTTAGTCTCCATAATCGAAAATTATTTTTATTTATATATATTTTTATTATTATTTGTTTTTTTGTGGCTTAGTTTCAACCAAAATATAGACTAATGCTAATAATAGTAATTTTTGATCATGGTCAGTTTCTGGCATCCCTACTAGCGAGAGGGTGTTCTCCACACAGGAGACATTGTTAGTGCCAGCAGATCTGCCCTTTCAGCAAGCAATGTGGACAAGTTCATCTTTCTTTAAACAACATGAAAATACAATGACAAGCAAGTCCTAATGTCAAGCTGGCTGCTTAGGAACTAGTACAGTACAGTTCAAATACAGATTATTTCAGTTCATCGGAATGCTGCACCTTAATGTTTATTTTATTTTGTATTTGAGTGAATATTCACAGTTTAATAATAATTAAAAAAAAAATATATTATGTTTTTCTGCTGAACCGAACCGTGACCTAAAAACCGAGGTACGTAACGAACCGAAATGTTTGTGAACCGTTAACCCCTAATGGATACATCGCTCAACACCCATATGAAACAGAACTGTAAACTGATTTTCTTTTTCTTTATGGATATTTTACAAATCACTCTCCTTCTAAACTGTATTCTTGTTCTACGGTCTTATAGTATTTCATAACTGTTTTTCCTTTATTCTCTTATTGTTTTATAACTATAATGATCATATGAAGGTGTGCCTCGGAAATAATTGTTTACATAAATCGTGACCAAACCGTTTGAAACCCAATGAGATAACTTACACTACAGTTAACTATCTAAACACTCAAGAGTGCTTTAGCTCACCTGAGCCTCTCAGTCTGACAGGAGAGGACTTTCCCTTCACCTTGTTGTAGAAACAGCTTCTTATATCCGTTAGCGCAACTAGCTAACAACAACAATGCCAGGTACCGCTGCGCTCTCTCGCTCGGAGCGGCGTTAAGGTGCAATCCGGCGCAGTGCAGGCATATTGTCATAACGTCTCGAACCCTGGTGGCTATCAAACCGGCCCACACCTGTCACCTGTAAAACATGAACAACAGGGTGTCGCTGTCCAGTGCTACAGACCGCGGGTGTCAGGTGACGCAAACTGGAAGTTTCCTTTCGTAGACCGCTCGGTTTGCTGTTCCTTCACTTTATTTTTATATTCATATACATTTATTTTGGACGAAAACTTTGCATGAGGAAAGGCATGCGAGTGCGTGAGATATGCGTTAGTTGCGTGAGATATGCGTTAGTTGCGTGACTCTCACGCTCAATGCATGAGGGTTGGCAGCCCTGGGGTAGTGGCAGGTTAAATCCATCACGGGAGAAGAGTGAACACGGATTATGATTCCTTCACACTATATTCACTAAAGTAAACATTGGGCCCATTCCTCACGAGCCACATTTCCGACACTAAAATGCATTTGAGAAAATAAACTAATTTGTCCATCTCAACTAACTGATATTCATTTTGCTTAATATGTTTAGCTGTGTAAATATGGAATGTGCCTAAATAAGATAATAATACTTCTCCAACTTAGAGGTGAATTCTATTTGATACTCTTGTCACACCTGTAATGCGTTTTTAGTGATAGAGCATTTTCGATGTTACTGTTTCCGTTTTTTGAATTTTTGGGGATTTTTCAACTAATGTAGCTTTCATGAATCTGTCCACTTGGTAACCAGGTGTCACTATCTTTGGTTTGCAGAAACTCTTCCAGTGTTTGAATGTAGTCCTTTCCTGGAGGAACTGTGTTGGTGCTGAGAGACCAGAAATAGCACGTGGTGTACATTTCACACTGAAACGGGAGCTGACCCAGGTCTCCAGTAACGCTGTCCCTCTGGTATGAACCCGGGAAGACGACATGTTGCAACAGCGCTGGTTTTGCACTGAATAAAAGGCCTTGTGTTTTGTTATTCTCACCAGTTTCCATGAATAATCAGGGCTAAAAAAAGTCATAATTTAGAAATAACTCACTGCCCTAGGGTTTAGGCTTGTAAACACGTTCTGACTAGTAGAGGTGAAATGCTTGATTGGTTTGAATTCTGATCATTCTGACTCGGTTTCATTGTACTGAAGTTGGTGTAACTTTGTGAGTGACTGGTAAACATGTTACCAGATACCCCCATGGTTCTGTAATGTTGTTTTATTTGCGTTTTCCTATGACTTGGCTCAACAATAAAAACATGATGTCATGCTAATGCCACATTCTGATATTTAGGTAAATGGTTGCTAATTGTGTGCTTTTCCTCATGAGGTGCCTGTTCCAGTCTGAGGCTAAACAAGTATGAACCTGCTGGAGCAGCAATGTACTCAAATAATGTCTCAAGAGTTTTCAAATTGAATGACTCGAAATACTTTATAAATCCCAGGGGGGAATTAGGTTTTGTGACAGTTTCAACATATTAGAATACAAATAAATACATATTTATATAAACATAAGTTGAAGTGAAAATCAATTATTGTTACTTCGATAATTTCACTGGTGCTTCCCATCTTTTAAGAGGCTATACGAGTTATGGCAATGAAGCAGGACTTGAAGTGAGGATATTAATAAGATATGTTAGTTGTGTCAGGTCCTAGATCACCTGGTTACCTGCCAAAGTTAATTTGTTTTATTTATTGTATTTTGATATCTGATGGAGTGAATACTCCAATACTGGGTTGGAGGTGGTCAGATCTGGCAATAATAATTGAGTTAGCTACATGCAAAGATGTCCTCTAGTAGCCAAGTGTAAAACAAATGTGATATTTAGCTCCCTCACCCGAGATTTTTGCAATTTCCTCAGTCATTGGTTTTCTTATATCGTTATAACGCGATGGAGCGAGGTGCTTTCCTTATTAAAACATAGGGTCAGCACTAGTCTGGTAACTTGAGTGTGAGGGGGACCGTAGTGGGGTTCACTTCTACATTGGAGTCCAGTTGATACAATCTGATAAATGTATGGCAATAACTGCTAACTGTTGCTTTTCTGTTTTCTAGGTTTGAGTGGGACAAACTTTTGGAGACTGTGCATTGTTTGATCATAAGTGTGACAAAGTCTGACAAGCAGGAAGCTTATATACTCAGGTGAGTGCAGCTCTTGACCCGGTCTTCCTCCCATCAGGAGGCAGGCCGGATTAGACAGCGGTCACCTGTAAACCGCTTTCCACTGACGCTGCAGTCTGAGCTTCACACGCTGCTTCGAGTTCTAGAGATGTGACCGGTGTAGATTATGAAGGAAACCCTGCTGTAGCCCAATGTAAAGATGCTGCCCTCAGTTATCAGTGGCACCACAGGATTCTGCAGACTTTTCAAGAATCAAACAAATCTGATAGATATGTTATTTATCCCAAGTTGGGACATGATTTTGTCACAGCAGCATTTTACAGTCAATCTACAAGATTTACCAAATTACCTAAAACATAGAATGAAATAAAGATAAATGTACATTTAAAAAAAATATATATATATATATATATACATATTCTCAGTAACAACAAATCCTATTTTCGGAGGAGTATCTAAACTTTTTAATTATACAGAATAAAATGGACTATACTTTCTAAAATACCTAATTAATCTGGCAGGTAAAAGCAATTGTCATGGCAACCAGGACGTGATTTAATAACTGCAGTATGACATTCTAATGCAGATGGCGCATAACCAAGTATTTACAAATATAATATTTATAATTTCTTTGAACCTACTTTGATATCTCCAAAAAGGTTTGAGAAGTTGCTCCTGTGTACCTGCCCTATAATTACTGCTGCCATGTCTGGGGAAGTTGAACTAGTTTACTCTGTCAACTGACCCAATATAGTCAGAGTAAAGTATTGTATTAGTCACATGTGTTTATCATGTAGTTGATATTGCAATGTCGATTTAAAAAATAAAAGCGAATGTAATCTTGTGAAGTAAGCACTGCGTCTGATCATTTAAGTTGCAGAGAAGAGCACATTTAACAGTCTTGGATTAGACGTGTTCTGTAGGCTGTAGGGGTGTAACGGTACACGTACCCGTACCGAAATTATTCGGTACGGGCCCTTCGGTTCGGTACAGGTGTGTACCGAAGTGTACCGAACGAATATAACGTTAAACGTAAAAAATTGAGAACGTGAACAACTTTTTGGAAGTAATCTCAGGTGCTGCGTCGCAGCATTCAGAGTAATTTGCTCACATTGGGTTTAACGCGTCATAGAGCGAGCAAGTCATTTCATTGGATGAGAGGCATACTATGAGAGCTGTTCAGAGGGATGCGTTCAAATGTAGTCAGTAATTTGAGGAACTGTCGAAAATTAATGGCGAACGCAGATAAAGTTGAGCTCGAAAATCCTCCAGCATCATTGAAGTCTCCGGTTTGGGAACATTTTGGTTTCGCAGTTACGTACAAGGATGACGGACAAAGACAGGTGGACCGAACCAAAGCTGTTTGTCGGCATTGTTCAACTAAAATTGGTTACGCGGCTGGCAATACGTCAAACTTGCACACTCTTGAAAAGGCATCACCCGAACGTGAATATCACCGGTACCAAAAGAAAAAAGACTGAAGTGCAAACCCAACTCCCGCTAGCATTTAAGCCTCCACCACTCGCAGAGAGTTCAGACCGAGCCAAAGGTATTACAAACGCCAAATATCCTTATGTTGCCATGTTAGCAAAGCGCTACCTGGCTGTATCTGCTACCTCTGTCCCTAGCGAGAGGGTGTTCTCCACAGCAGGAGACATTGTTAGTGCCAGCAGATCTGCCCTTTCAGCAGCAATGTGGACAAGTTCATTTTTCTTTAAAAAAACATGAAAATACAATGACAAGCAAGTCATAATGTCAAACTGGCTGCTTAGGTACTAGTACAGTACAGTTCAAATACAGATTATTTCAGTTCATCGAAAAGCTGCACCTTAATGTTTATTTTATTATATTTTGTATTTATTTGAGTGAATATTCACAGTTTAATAATAATTAAAAACCCAAAACTAATAGTTTATGTTTTGTGAGTACTAGTAGCCTACAGTAAAGTTTAAATACAGATTATTTCAGTTCATCGAAATGCTGCACCTTAATGTTTATTTTATTATATTTTGTATTTATTTGAGTGAATACATTATTCACAGTTTAATAATAATAAAAAAAAATATATATATATATGTTTTGTTTTGTGAAAAAAAATTCTGCTGTACCGAAAACGTACCGAACCGAACCGTGACCAAAAAACCGAGGTACGTACCGAACCGAAATGTTTGTGAACCGTTACACCCCTAGTAGGCTGGTGGACCAGTACGCTGATAAACACAGTATGTGAGTGAAACCAGAACCCCAAGAATCACTTGTGTAATAAACAAAACAATGCTCTGCTTTTCCTCCACAGTGAGAGTAGCATGTTTGTCTCCAAGAGACGTTTCATTTTGAAAACGTGCGGAACCACCCTCTTACTGCAAGCACTGGTGCCTCTGCTGGAACTCGCCAGGGAGTACTGCGGGTTTGATGCCATCGAGGTAGGACGCTCAGCTTTCTCAGACACAAGAAAGGAAATGTAACTCCTGAAGCTCTTACCTAATGCCTGTAGCCTTTTTGTATTTTCATATTGTTCTATACTTTTTGCAGAATTTCTTCTACTCCCGTAAGAACTTTATGAAGCCAACCCATCAAGAGTTCCCTCATCGGAACTTCCAGGAGGAAGTGGACTTTCTTAGCCAGATTTTCCCAAGTACGTAACATTTAAGGATCTTAGCACTGGCCTCTTTTTTTATGTGTCTCATTTTCCCCTTTTAAATATCCTCTGAGAAAATGTAGTTTGATGAAACCAAAATGATACAATACCTTCATCTGTGTAAAGGAAATGTGAAGAAGTTGCCTTGTGCTCTCTGCCTCTTCCAGATGGTGCAGCCTACTGTATGGGACGTTTGAACTCTGACTGCTGGTGAGCATTTCTGTTTGGAACTCAATCTATTGTCCATTGTTGCATATTTTGCTTGAGATTGGTACTGAATGTGCTCTCCACTGACTATCCCTGAAAGATCTTATAGGAACTACTAGAGATTAAAATAGTGTTTCAGCCACAGCAAGGTATTACTTAATGACAATTGGATGTTAGCACAGATGATGATGGCATCTCGTAGAATGATGACACAAAAGGAAAAAGAAGTATAAAATGGCTGCTTCGTTGACACATGTAATGAGCTCTCCCTGCCCGTTACACAGGTACCTGTTTACCCTGGACTTACCAGAGTACTGGGAGAACAAGCTTGCGGATCAGACGCTGGAAGTTCTGATGAGTGACCTCGATCCAGCCATTATGGACCAGTTCTATATGAAAGATGGTGTTTCTGCAAGTGATGTCACTCGTGTAAGTACCCTCTTGATATCCCACGTGTTAATTTGAGCCACCAGTGTTTGGGTGGTTCAGAGCGTATGAGCTGAGCTGGCGTCAGTGATGCTTTATCTGATGTTGACGTAGTTCTGTGCTTTGTTGCAGATGAGTGGAATTCGTGACCTGATACCAGGTTCTGTGATTGACGCCACAATGTTCAACCCTTGTGGATACTCAATGAATGGAATGAAGACTGATGTGAGTCTCTCTTTCTGATTGGCCTACTCTGTGGTGCTCAACATGTGAGTAATATGGCTCTACTTCTTGTCCTCTCTAGGGAGCATACTGGACCATCCACATCACCCCGGAGCCAGAGTTCTCCTACGTCAGCTTCGAAACCAATCTCTCCCAGACATCGTACGATGATCTAATCAGTAAGGTGGTGGATGTGTTCAAGCCAGGGAAGTTTGTGACCACGCTTTTTGTCAATCAGGTAGGTATAAATAAGGAGCGCACTTCATTCAGAGGGATTTGAAATAGATTTGTCACTGAGTTTGTTTCTCCTGTTTTCCCCACAGAGCTCCAAATGTCGCAGTGTCTTTTCTCCGGCCCAGAAGGTGGAGGGCTACAAGCGCCTCGACCGCCAGCTGGCTCAATTCAACGATTACAATTTTGTTTTCACCAGCTACGCCAAGAGCCGCGGGCAGAGCCAGCAGAGCTGAGGGTTGAGGATGAAGAAGCGTAAAAAAAAAGGCGGTTGCGTGGGGCGCCCCCCCTGCGGCTGTCTTCATCCCCCAGTAGAGAGCTTGTCCTCCTCCTCCCTCTTCCTCTCCCCCCCCTTCTGCTGCTGTCGTGGTTCAGGATCTCTGGGTGCTGACGCGGTGGCAGGCCCTAGTTTAACCTCCAATTTAACCTCCAATTTGAGTTGTTTGCATTGTTGTACCTGTGACTTAGATCTCTTGCATGAAAGCTCTTTTCTCTGTTTCGATATTCTAGCTCACTCTTGCTGTGATCTTGAAGTGCATGTAGAGGAATTAAACACGCTCTGTTTGGGGCCGTCCACCTGTGCCCTGTCCAACAGACCCTTCCTGAAGGTCTCCCCCCTCATACCCCACAGACAAGGCTTCCGCCCGCACTAGGCCGGAGCCCTGACATGCTCAGACCTGTCTGCCTCTAAGCACCCAACACGACCATAGCTCTCCACTTCACCTATAGGTATTTTTTAACTTTGAGTGCACTTTAAAAAGCTGTTTGCTTGTGGTACAAAAAAGAAGGCCAACCTTTAGTCTGAATGTATAAGTCATAGTGAGCTTTTGGCCATTTAATGGTTGTCTGATAGTCAGGACATTTAAGAAGTCTTTCAAAACAAATGCCATATTTGCTGTTTTAATGTTGCAATATACGTCCAAGGGTTTGCGATTGGTCAATGTACTTCACCGAAGCTAAAGACTTCCTGCTTTGCTGGAATTTGAAGCATTCAGTAAATTGTGCTTCCCCCACCCTGACAATCATGTAGTCAGTGTTTCCCAAAGAAGACTGGAAACGTTATGAATAATTTAGACATCACATACACACTTTGTTTCATCCAGGCTTCTTTATTTACAGAATACTGTATCTAGAGGTAGCCTTTGGGTCTTAAACCTCCCCCTCCCCCCAAGTCATATTCAGCACATTCACATGACGTGTTAAAAGGAAATGTTGAAACTGAATGTAGCACAGCTGTGTAAAACACGTTTGTCCCTGTCTTTTTGAATGTACACATCTAGAGAAAAGCCCGGACCGGGTTTGAGCGAAAGTACACACACACACAGATCATAATGCCCTGCTGCAGGTTAGGTCAGCTGGCCCCGGAGCCCTGACAGCTCTCAAAGGGAAATAATGAATTGGATACTTTTTGCTTAGTTGCCCAGCAAAGCATTTTTCTTTTTCCCACATAATATCCATCCTCTCGGTCTCTTTCCGCCCCATACAGAAATCTGTAAGCGCACAATAGAGGCCCACCAGTCTGAGCATGCCAGGGTGATCCCGGATCATTCCACATTTAACCGCTGCATAAACTGCCTTTTTATTACATTAATTGTGCCCAGACATTTTTTGCAGTGAATTGGTCGAAAACGTGTCTCCCCAGCAGTTTTTTTTTTTGTTTGGATCAATGCCCTTTGTTTGTTGAGGGGGGAAATCCTGTGATACTATGGTGCATGTGACTATAGTGGCGTGTTGCTTGACAGTGTAGCACAGCGCCATCTCTTCCTCCTCTTTGTCAGTAGGTGTGGGCTTCACCTTTTCTTATTTTACCAGCTGAAAGCATTTCCTCATGTGTTAGGATAGGTGGTGTCAGGTCAACTTGTATTGTTCTTATGTTAAGTGCTGAATGCAGGTTAGGTTAATTATGACTGGTCTTCTCCACCTGCCGTTCTCTTCAGTGGTGTTCACAATGCTTCTCCTGCCAGAGAATGCAATTTGAGCTGGAGAAGACAAGCCCAGATCCTAACCTGCTTTCAGCTGCAATCCATCTGATCTTTGGGGGTTTGTCTGGTGATTGCATCAGCAGACAACAGCAGTCATCTCATGGATCCTCTGAGCCAGTTGGACCAGTTAATGTGAGGGCGAGCAGAGGGGTTGTCTCCTGGAATAGTTTCCCTCGGAGTTGTCCATCATGGCTTTTGAATTGGTTTCATTGTTTTGATGAGGACCAATCTCTGCTGTCTAATGACTGAGGTGATCTGCTATGATGTTCCGGGTCCTTTTATGAAGTCACATATTTAGGGATTTAGACTGTTCATAAGTACTGAAGCGGTTTGATGCTAACTGTTCTTGGATTAAGTACATTTTAGCCTTGTTGGTGTGGATCAGTATGCTATTGTTTTATTTTTTTATACAGTGAACTCAAAATGCATTTTTGCAGTTGAATGGTTATAGAATTTTATACAAAAAATATTTTGTATTTTTGATGCGGACCAATCTTTTTTTTTTCTCTTCCCCTTTTGTCCAAATGTTTGTTTTTGTCGTGAAAGCAGTTTTTTCTGAAGTTATGGAGGAATAAACGATGATCTGTAATTTCCCACTTCCATTCCTCTGAATCTCTCTGTAGAGGGGAGGGGGGGGGTCCTCCACAGGGTCAGAGAGGGTGCAGTTGCAGGATGTACTGAAGGAGAAACTTGGCTGTTCTAATTCTTTCTTTTGCTTTTCTTTGGATGGTCAAGATGTGCTAAATATATCTGTGCTATGAGCTTGATGCTTCAATAAAAAGAAACCTATCTGTGCACTTGCTGTGTTCCTTATTTGAAGCATTTTTATCCTGAGCTGTTAAAGCATTATTAGAGAAAGGATAGAGGAAGCTAACGATACAGCATCAAAGATGTCTGCACCATCTCATTTTGCAGTGCATAGTCACATAGTCACAAACAATAGACACAATGAAATATGCCAAATAGCATGTTGATACAAACTACTTGTATTATGAAATATATATATATATATATATGACAAACGTTTCTAACGTCCTGCATCAGGGTCAGTTCAGAAATGTTTCCACAGATTCAGTTTTGCACTTCCATAAAGTGGAGTGGGTTGGAGCTTCATTGTTTAAATATACATACAAAAAGCATGATAACCAAAGAAGCATCCATGCAGCTTGGTGCTGTTTCTGATTTAACATTTGGGAATCATCTCATGGCAGGCCTTTGATTCAAACTCAAATGGATGCACTCCCAAGTTAGTCCTGCAATGTTTAGAAGCATGAACCTACTGAAAGTATTTCCAGTCTTTCTCTATACATTTTAGATGCTTTAACTCTTGCACATCACATCTCAATTGCCCTATAGTTCATTTTTTAACACATTACCATAGTTCAAATAACTCCATGGACTTGTGCCCCGAAACTGTTCAGACATGCTGTGTGGTTGGAAGAGGCTGCTAACCAAGTGGTTGAGTGGATTGCTAATCATGCTCTTGAGATTACCACAAAGAAAATACAGAAATAGTGTTTGGCTTACCATCGGACTCATAAAGTCCCGGTTGTGATCTATACTGAAACAATTAAGCAGGTGCTTTCATATAAATACTTGGGTGCATGGGCGTAGGAAGCATCCTGAATATGGGAGGGACATTTTTAACGGGGGGTTTGGGGATCCCCACCACGGAAAAAAAATAGATTTCCTGTATTCTGGTGCATTTTAACAGGTGGTTTGATACTTTTATGTGGCTATACTAGCATGAGGGAAATGGGTACATTTTGTAATTTCATCCAGTAGCAAAGAAAGGAAACATATTTGATTATTAATTCAGAGCCGTCTTTTAATTAATAAAAAGCAGTTTAAATGCCCATTTTTTGTACATTTATATACAACAATAAATATGTGTGAGTGCATTGAGAGATATTGTTGTGGAGAGTCATTTATATATAAATCGCAAAATACATTTGTGAATCCTTCTGTGAGCATTTATTAATATTGAGACTGATCTGACTCCATACAGATGTTAAGTTCACCTAGGAATGGTATCATTGACTTAAATGTTGCTCTTCTGTCTATATTGGTCACATGATGCCCCTTGACTGAAATGCTTCCTGTTTAATATCCCCACTAATTTCCTTAACATTCTGGGATGAGAGTCCACATCACAATTTACTCTAAACTGTCATTTCCCTTTCATCACTCACCTCAGCAACGGACCTCTCTCCACTGTCCCTGTGTTCTGCCTCTGACTCACTCTCAAGCGCCTAGATGTCAAGAGAGGTGGTGAAGTGAGCATTATTTATTGAGCAGTATACTCTTTCACATTGAATCATAACAAGTCATACTGAATGTAAATACAACTGACTCTAAAGTAAGTCCCAGTCTGTGACATTGGACATTTTGAAGACTCAAAGTCCCAAGCAGTAGGTAGAATATTAGCTAGTCTATGTAATGTGCACAGAAAATAAATAGTTAACTGAATACTCAGATGGAAATGGCCTATAAGCACTCAGTAAAACATAAACACACACAAAAAGCTTCTGAATGATGAGAAGTATAATTAAAACATAATGCACATTACCATTTTGAGAGAGAGTACCGAAGTTAAAGAACTCAGAAAATAATCTCTTATTGAACTGAGGCTCCAGTAAAAAAACACTGACTGCGTCTACATCAGTGGCGCCTCCAGAGATTATTCATAGGGGTGGCCAAATGGGGCCACTAAAAATCTTGGGGTGGCCCACCAAAACCAAGAATGTAATTGTTGTCAAAGTATAGACTAGATGAAAACAATGGCAAAGAGAATCACCTACTGATATACTTTGGTTTCTTATTTTACATTTTCTGATACTATTCTTCTGAAGTGAATATAATACGGATAGTTAACATTTGACTTCAAACAACATTTGAAAGAACCTTGTTTTGTGTTATGTATACATGTGTTGGTGATTTATTGTTTTGTTTTTTATACTAGTTGTTCTTTCCTTTTAAAAAGACAAATACAGCTTAATTTAAATAAGTTCCTTTATTGTAAGGCACAACATGTTCAGCATTCTCAACACATACAATACACAACAGCAACACAACATGTTCTTCAGTTATATTATGTCTCTAGGCAGGGCTGGACTGGCCATCTGGCATACCAGGCATTTTCCCGGTGGGCCGATACGTCATTTTTTTTTTTCTGAAGTCCCGGCCCATAAGACGGGTAGATTGGCCCTCTGTTTAAATGTTTTTAGTAATTGACACTGGGCCGGCCCAGAGCCATATAATAGAAGAGTTACGACAACGGAAGTCCAAAAACGGTTATCGTCACGTGGTTCATGTAGAAGAGGATCGTTCCCCGGAAGTTCATGGCGGGCAATGTGAATGCATTGATAACAGGAGATAGAACTACGATTTTTGGTAATTATTAGTGAATAAAGTTTTTGATTTGCAATATTTATACAACAAATCGATATGTATGTATTTACATCAATATGTTTTAAAAAATAAAATAGAATTTGCTAATATTAAGTGATAATATTAGGATTAGTGTGAACAACTAGTTTACATGTTAGGCTAACAGTGCCTTGGTTAAAGAGCCTGTTGCTGTTTATTTATAGCTTTGAATTCTTTAAAACCAATATTATCTTCTTAAACTTGTATGGTAGTCAGGAGCATCACTTTCTAATGTTTATTGATATATTTAGAGGGAGGGGATCTAAAGTAATGCTTTAAAATTCAGATTAATGTCTACCATTTTCTTAAATTCATGGTAGTTTCAGTAACCATGGTAATTGAGGACACAAGTTATCTAAATGACTAATGTCATCTTTATGGCTTTCAGAAAGGACAGGAGACCGACAGGTGACTATCAAAGGACTAGCAGCAGCAGCATGATGATGATGTTAAATGTGTTGTTTCATTGCAAATACATGGAATTCAATAAACATTGAATAGCATATCATGCAGTTTGTCTGTGCCTTTTCCTCCGTGTTGTCCTGGTTTGCTGTGCTGCCTCCTAGTCGCCACCATGGTTTGCTGTGCTGCCTGGGGATGCTCAAATCGCTCCGAGAAAGGAGTACGAATGTACAGCTTTCCCACTGACACAGAGCGGAGGAAGTAGGAGCAATTTCACGACCAACATCAAAAAAATATGTGATTTATATACAAACACTGCATTTGCACTTTTTCACAAAACGAAAACCACACCATTGGGAAAGCTTAATGTTTTGTTTAATACAAAAAACAGGGAAAGGCTTGAAAAACACTGAGAGTTGAGACTCAGGGTGCAGGGTGAGGGTCTCAGTGCAGGTATTCAGGCTCCATTGAATCCCCCTCTGGTTCTTGTGCTGAAAGAGGGATAAACAGACAGGAGAAAGGGTTATACACACCTATATAGCACACCTATTGGATGGGAAATTGCCTTGGGGAGATAAGGTGTGGTCTTTGTTCCCAACTGAAGTTATGGAACTTTATTATTTGTGAGTTTAACAAAGTATGACAAATGGCATCAGTAACAGATGTGATATGAATTTATATAAAGTTGTCTCACATTCTTGGTCATATTGTATATACAGTATGTAATGAGTATAACATGTCCAGTAAGTATAAAGTGTTTCCTAATACTGTGTATTCAACCACTATGGAATATGTATGTGGGCAGACAAAACTGAGTTGTTCTGTGTGTGAAGTAACCTAAAGTCACTCCGCAGGCACATTTTGAAGCAGACCAGTTTGTCAAGACTAAAAAGGGCAAGACTAGGCAGAGAGCAGAGGCTATACCCACCATCTTCGTGCATCGCCCTGTGGTCAAAAAGAGAAGGGCCCCTGCACCACGATTCACCCCGGGACCTGTATCTACAAAGCCCATAGCTCATGATCACAGCTATAGTGTGAAAGGTGACACAGGTATAATAAGTATGAACTCTTAGTAACAAAAGTAATATTTCTTATTTTTAAGTGGTATAATATTTTAAATGTTCGAACATTTACAGTGCCATGTCTTCTACTTACATTAGTCTCAAAGATTGAGGGAAGAAGGGAAGGGATCACTGCCCTCCACCTGCCAGAGGAGCGCAAACAACAAAAACAAGCAAGGTGTCCCGTCATGTACCTGGAAGTTTGGGTTGGCAAAATGGAGTAAGAGAGGGACTTGAAAAACCTTGGTGGCTGTCTACTCATGTTGTTACAGTTGTCTTGGTTACAGCTCTCAAGTTTTTTTTTGTGCCATTTCCACATCTTTAGAAAATATGAAAAAATTGAAGTGAAATCAACCTCTTCTCTGGAGAACACACTTGGATTTCTCTGTCTTGTGAGTTTGCAGTCTTGCAGTTTTGCTCCTCCACCTGTAACATCACTGCCATACAGTAGGTTACTAACAAGATTACTTATATAATACAGTGATAGAATACATGTTTAGTATGCTTACTTATATAAAACAGTTGTATTAAACGTACCTTGTGTTTTCACACTCACTTAAGTTCCTCTCCCTTTGCCATCAATCCAAAATCAGCTGAGCTGCAACATTATACACAAGGACACAATATAGCTCTGCTAAAAACACTCACTCTTACACGCACCAAAGTTATATTTATCTAATATTTAACTCCCTCCACCCCCGCATACAATCCCGTTTAGAAGCCCCTCTTCTCTAATTCAACAACGTTGGACCAAATAGACATTAAGAGAACGGAATTTACAATTAAAAGGCTGTTCAACGTGTGTTGCTAACTTGCTTCGGTATCCTAGCTTGATCTGTTATCTGTAAACGTTCCCTAAATCTACTAATTTAGGGATAATCCACTGACATCCTTTAATACACATG